TTTGAGACCGAGTTTTGCCGTTGTTACCCACACTGGAGTGCAATGGCACGATCTTGGCTCACCGCAATTCTCCTGCCTCAGCCGCCCGAGTAGCTGGGGCTACAGGCGCGCACCACCATGCCCAGCTAATTTTTGTATTTTTAGTAGAGACGGGGTTTCACCTTGTTGACCAGGATGGTCTTGATCTCTTGACCTCGTGATCCACCCTCCTCGACCTCCCAAAGTGCTGGGATTATAGGCATGAGCCACTGCACCCAGCCTCTAATATTTATTTGTTAAAGAAAATACAATGTCCATTAAATAAACACAAAGTTCCTTAAAGAAACAGTGTTGGACTAATGCCTTTTTAGCCTTAGCCCACCTGTACCCAGGTGATAAAAAATAATAAAAAAAAAGGGGGGGGAAGAAATAGTGTTGATTAAATAAAATATAATCCCCATACCATTCAAAGACAACCGTGTTAACATTTTAATTTATTTCCTTCTAGTTTTATTTCTAAATATATATATTTATACATTTTCTATTTTAACTTTTTTTTTTAAGATGGGGTTTCACCATGATGGCCAGGCTGGTCTTGAACTCCTGACCTCAGGTGATCCACCCACCTCAACCTCCCAAAGTGCTAGGATTACAGGCGTGAGCCATCGTGCCAGGCTCTATTTTATACATTTTTAGTATTTTACAAAATTTTCTTTTTTTTGTTTTGCCAATCAGTTTGAGCTTATGAGGTTGCTCAGGTTAGCCTTGAACTCATGACCTCGCCTTCACAAGCGCCACGACCTCCAGCGGGAGCCACTTTGGCCACCACAACATTTTTTTATTTTGAGACAGAGTCTTGCTCTGTCTCCCAGTCTGGAGTGCAGTGGCGTGATCTCGGTTCACCACAACCTCTTCCTCCTAGGTTCAAGTGATTCTCCTGTCTCAGCCTCCCAAGTAGCTGGGACGATAGACATGAGCCACTATGCCTGGCTAATTTTATATTTTTAGTAGAGATGAGTTTTCACCATGTTGGTCAGGCTGGTCTTGAATTCCTGACCTCAAGTGATCCATATGCCTCAGCCTCCCAAAGTCCTGAGATTACAGGTGTGAGCCACATGGTGCCTGACAATATTTTACTTTTTTTTTTTTTTAAGATGGGGTTTCACCGTGATGGTCAGGCTGGTCTTGAACTCCTGACCTCAGGTGATCCACCCACCTCGGCCTCCCAAAGTGCTAGGATTACAGGCATGAGCCACCGTGCCCGGCCTACAGTCGCCATCAAATTATTTCTCCAAAGTGTTACACTTCTGGCCAGGTGTGGTGGCTCACACCTGTAATCCCAGCACTTTGGGAGGCCAAGGTGGACAGACTGCTTAAGCCTAGGAGTTCAAGACCAGCCTGGCCAACATGATGAAACCCTGTTTCTACAAAAAATACAAACATTAGCTGGGCATGGTGGTACACACCTGTAGTCCCAGCTACTCGGGAGACTGAAGCAGGAAAATCACTTGAACCTGGGAGATGGAGGTTGCAGTGAGCCACTGCACTCCAGCCTGGGCGACAGAGGAACGCCATCTAAATAAAAAGTGTTACGCTTCTTTACCTCTCCATGCACAGTACCTGAGGCATCCTGTGTGTTTCATTAAGTATGAAGGGCACAGGCATTCTGGAGGGGGAGAAAAGATGGGAAAGGAAGGAGTTCTGCTTGGCAAAATTGGATGGGAACACCTAGAATCTAAGTTTCTACCTTTAGGGCTGGCTTGCAACTGTAATCCCAGCACTTTGGGAGGCCAAAGCAGAAGGAACGCTTGAGGCCAGGAATTCAAGACCAGCCTGGGCAACATAGCAAGACCCTCATCTCTACAACAGATTTTAAAATTAGCCAGGCGTGGTGGTGTGCACCTGTAGTCCCAGTTGCTGAGGAGGCTGATACTTGAGGATCACTTGAACCCTGGTATTCGAGGCCAAAGTGACCTATGATGATACCACTGCATACCAGCCTGTGAAATAGGGCGATAACTTGTCTCAAGTAAGCACAGAAACAAACATCTCTGCCTGTTTTGCTGTTAGCTCTCCCTTTTCCTTCCTTTTTTTTTTTGAGACAGAGTTTCACTCTGTTGCCCAGGCTGGAGTGCAGTGGCAGGATCTCGGCTCACTGCAATCTTCATTTGCCAGGTTCAAGCAATTCTCTTGCCTCAGCCTTCCAAGTAGCTGGGATTACAGGTGCGGGCCACCATGCTGGGATAATTTTTTGTGTTTATGTCTCAGCAGTGGAGCTACTGGGCTAAAGGAGATACCCATTTTCCAGGGTCTTAAAAACTGCTGTAGCCGGGCACGGTGGCTCAAGCCTGTAATCCCAGCATTTAGGGAGGCCGAGGCGAGTGGATCAGGAGGTCAAGAGATTGAGACCATCCTGGTCAACATGGTGAAACCCCATCTCTACCAAAAATACAAAAAATTAGCTGGGCATAGTGGCGCGTGCCTGTAATCCCAGCTACTCAGGAGGCTGAGGCAGGAGAATTGCCTGAACCCAGGAGGCGGAGGTTGCGGTGAGCCGAGATCGCGCCATTGCACTCCAGCCTGGGTAACAGGTGAAACTCCGTCTCAAAAAAAAAAAAAAAAACCGCTGTAAGCTGGGTGTGGTGCTCACGCCTGTAATCCTAGCATTTTGCCTAATTCTTGTATTTTTAGTAGAGACAGGGTTTCACCATGCTGGCCAGGCTGGTCTCGAACTCCTGACCTCGTGATCCGCCTGCCTCAGCTTCCCATAGTGCTGGGATGACAGGCGTGAGCTACCGTGCCTGGCCAAAGTGGTAAGTGTCTTTTCCAAGGTTATTTAACAGGTCAGTGGTATGGCTGAGCTTAGAACCAGGCAATCCAATTCCCTTTGCCCGATTTTGCATGATTGAACTCTCCTTTACAGGTAGAAAAATTAAGGCCTGGAAAGGTGATGTGAATTGCCCAAAGTCAGGGAAACAGCCCAGCCCAGATCACTGGATTCTTTCCACTGTGTTCCATCATTTGGTTACAGGGTGCTGATCTAGGGAATTGACACCTTAGGAACTTCAAAACACAGTCACAGAAAATCTTCCCGTAGTCCTTTTGGGTTACAGCAAGATTCAGAGCCTCTCAGAACCATGGCCTCAGCAGTGCGTCTCCCCTCCATACCTGAGTGCTGCCTGTCCATCTTCCCGCCTCCCCACCCCCTCACTCCATCTGTCTTAAAGGAAATAGCGGTTAAGCACTCACATGCCCAGACAGGGAGGAAGTCGGGCAACCCCAGTGCATGTTCAGCCACGGCTAGTCCACGATGAAGACCAGAAGCATTGAGCTCAAACATAAAGGACGTGAGACAAGGGAAGAAAAGTACCTGAAGAAGGCGAGAATACTGGGAAAGGCTGCAAAAAAAGCCGTGGAGAGGGAGATGATGCCCCAAAGAAGGGAACTAGGAATTGCCTGGTCTCCAAAGGTGAAAGAGCACCAGATACCCTGGGCTGAGCTCCCGCTTTAGTTTTCTTTCTTTCTTTATTTTTTGAGATGCAGTCTCGCCCTGTCGCCCTGGTTGGAAGTGCAGTGGCATGATCTCAGCTCACTGCAGCCTCTGTCTCCCGAGTTCAAGCGATTCTCCTGCCCCAGCCTTCTGAGTAGCTGGGATTACAGGCGTGCGCCACCATGCCTGGCTAATTTTTGTGTTTTTTTTTTTTTTATTGCATTTTAGGTTTGGGGGTACATGTGCAGAACATGCAAGACAGTTGCATAGGTACACACATGGCATTGTGTTTTGCTTCCTTTCTCCCCTTCACCCACATTTGGCATTTCTCCCCAGGCTATCCCTCCCCACCTTCCCCTCCCGCTGGCCCTCCCCTTAATTTTTGTATTTTAAGCAGAGATGGATTTTCACCATGTTGGCCAGGCTGGTCTTGAACTCCTGACCCCACCTGCCTTGGCCTCCCATAGTGCTAGGATTATAGGCGTGAGCCACCGGGCCCGGCTGCTACTTAAAAGCATTGTAGGGTGTCTGGTGGACTAGAAGTTCTAGCTAGTGCATTTTACATATGAGGTCTCTGAGGCACAGCAAGGAAGGCTCTTCCAAGGCCACAGAGCCGGCAAGACTGGGATTCTGCCATTGCCTGTGAGGTCTCATTCAGTTACATCGGCCCATCGTCTTTTGGCTGAAGGTCTGAGCTCCAGGAGGTGAGGATCTCAATCTGTCCTTTTTACTAGGAGGGCTCAGCTGTGCTCCTTGCTGATGTGGACCCAGATGCTGCTATGCCAAGAATGGAGAGGAAACTCATAAGATGGACAATTCCAGGAAGGCCAGATAATAGGTATTCATTTACCTGTCCATTCATCCATCCATTCATTCTAGGAAGGCCAGGATAGTAGGTATCCATCCATCCATCCGTTCATTCACCCATTCATTCCAGGAAGGCCAGGATAGTAGGAATCCATCCATTCATCCGTTCATCCATCCATTCATTCCAGGAAGGCCAGGATAGTAGGTATCCGTCCATCCATCCGTTCATCCATCCATTCATTCCAGGAAGGCCAGGATAGTAGGTATCCATCCATCCATCCGTTCATCCATCCATTCATTCCAGGAAGGCCAGGATAGTAGGTATCCATCCATTCATCCATTAATCCATCCATTCATTCCAGGAAGGCCAGGATAGTAGGTATCCGTCCATCCATCCGTTCATCCATCCATTCATTCCAGGAAGGCCAGGATAGTAGGTATCCATCCATCCATCCATCCATCCGTCCATCCATCTGTCTGTCCATCTGTGCATTCATCTATCCTTCTGTCTATCCACTGACTCATGGATATCCATCATCCATGTTAATACTCACCACTGATCACAGGGGCATGCTGGTTAAGACTGTGAGTTCTGAAACCAACTCTGAGTTAGAATACTGGCTTCACCACATACAACCTATGTGACTTTAAGTAAATTACCTAGCCTCTCTGTGACTTAGTTTCCTCATCTGAAAGTGCAGATAACAATATTGTATTTACCTCATAGAGTTGTTGTAAGCATTAAATGATTTAATCCATGTAAAGTACTTAGAACAGGCTGGGCCCAGTGGCTCACGATGGTAATCCCAGCACTTTGGGAGGCTGAGGCCAGTGGATCACTTGGGGTCATGAGTTCAAGACCAGCTTGGCCAACAGGGTGAAACCCCATCTCTACTAAAAAAAATACAAAAATTAGCTGGGCCTGGTGGCATGCGCCTATAATCCCAGCTATTTGGGAAGTTGAGATAGGAGAATAACTTGAACCCAGGAGGTGGAGGTTGTAGTGAGCTGAGATCATCCCACCATTGCACTGAGATTGAGCCACTGCACTCCAGCCTGGACAACAGAGTGAGAGTTCGTCTCAAAATATAAATAAATAAATAATGTACATAGTACTGGTTTATTTTTTAATTTAATTTAATTTTCTGTGAGACAGAGTCTCACTCTGCTGCCCAAGCTGGAGTGCAGTGACACAATCTCAGCTCACTGCAGCCTCCACCTCCCATTTTCAAGTGATTTTTGTGCCTCAGCCTCCTGAGGAGCTAGGATTACGGATGCCTTCCACCATGCTCAGCTAATTTTTGTATATTTAGTAGAGGGCTTTGCCATGTTGGCCAGGCTGATCTGTAATTCCTGACCTCAGATGATCTACCCACCTTAGCCTCCCAAAGTGCTTGGATTACAGGCGTGAGCCACCACGTTTGGCCATAAAGTGCTTAGATTTGGTTTATATATCACATTTTTTTTTTTTTTTTTAAACAGGGTCTCACTCTGTAGCCCAGGCTGGAGTGCAGTGGCAGGATCTCAGTTCATGGCAACCTCCACCTCTTGGGCTCAAGCAATCCCCCTTCAGCCTCCTGAGTAATTGAGACTACTGGTGTACACCACCACGCCTGGCTAATTTTTGTATTTTTTAGTAGAGAGGGGGTTTTACCATGTTACCCAAACTGGTCTCGAAATCCTGACCTCAAGCGATCCACCTGCCTTGGCCTCCCAAAGTGTTGGGATTACAGGCGTGAGCCACCGCACTCAGCCACATCACTTATTATTATTATTCAAGGAACGTGCTACATGAAACAGTGAGGTTCGAACAAGGTACCCTGGAATACAGAAGCAAGAGCAAACAGCTTGATGTGAGGCCCAAGTCAGGGAAAGTTCAGGTCCTTGTTCCTTGATTGGCTGTTTTCAGGGGTCTTTGGAGTCCAGAGATGAGAGGAGGAAAAATGCTCCCACCACCCGCCAGCTGTATAATATAAGGGATCCAGCCTGATGTTCCTTTAGAATCCACGCATTTCTCTAGCTGCTGGAGGTGTTGGTTGCTGACAGCTCACAGCTGAGTCCCTCTGTGGTTTGGCCACACTGAAGGGAGTCATCACTCCGAGGTCATAGCCCCTTCCCAGCGCAGCTCACATCCTTGGACTGGTCAGTACAGGTGTAAAGACTCAGCCTCCTCATCTCAACACAGAACAACTCTGACGGGTCATCTCAGCTTCAGAAGTCCCGACGGGGCTGGCCGAGGCCTCCGCTGAGACTGGATTACAGCACCACCCTTCCCTCTGCCCAATCCAGCTTCCTTCCTTTTCTTTGGTGGGTGTTGCTCCCACAAGCACCTCCTGATGAAGTTCTACATACCAGTCTCCATCTCTGAGTCTGCTTCCCAGAGAAGCCGACCTGTTGGATAGAGGATATAGCATCACTTCAAGGCTGTTTATTGTGTGTATGTGTGTGAGGGACCTCTTATGTAAACCATACCAGCTAGAATTTCTAGTCCAGACACCTTACAATTCTTTAAACTCCCAATAACAACCCAAAGGAACAGATGCTATTATTACTCTCATTTGCAGATCGAAAGATGAGAGGGTTTACCCAAAGACTCGGCTGGTATTTGGCAGAATGAGGATTCAAACCCAATAGTCAGGAACAGAGTCCATACACTTGACCTAGCTATTCTGCCTAATGAGGTTCTTGTTTTTGAGACAGTCTTGCTCTGTCACCCAGGTGGGAGTGCAGTGGTGTGATCTCGGCTTACTGCAAACTCCACCTCCTGAGTTCAAACGATTCTCCTGCCTCAGCCTCCTGAGTAGCTGGGATTACAGGCATGCGTCACCACGCCTGGCTAATTTTTGTATTTTTAGTAGGGGAGGTTCACCATGTTAGCCAAGCTGGTCTCAAACTCCTGACCTCAAGTGATCCAGCTGCCTCAGTCTCCCAAAGCGCTGGAATTACCAGGCATGAGCCACTGCACCTGGCCCTAATGGGGTTCTGACAAAATCCAGGAATTCAATGCAGGGTGGTGGACCTGTGAGTGTGTGAGTGAGGGAGGTGTGTACTTGTGGAGCCACACATATGCACACGTGTACTCATGTGTTCACTGTGAGTCTGACGGCGTGGATACATGCATGTGTTAACCAGTGCTCTGGTGACGTAATGATGGCTGAGCATGGATGGACGGATGTGCCCATGGAGTCCCCTCTCCAGGCCCCCACAGGATGCATCTCCTGGGTTTCTTCACCTTCCCCTTGGTACACAGGAGGCACGAGTGACCAGGAAGGGCCATGATTTGCATTCCAAAGCCCAGCTGCCACTTCCTTATTCCCACCATGTCTCCCAAGAGTAGTTAGGGTCTGGACTCTTTTTTTTTTTTCTGAGACAGAATCTTGCTCTGTAGCCCAGGCTGGAGTGCAGTGGTGTGATCTCAGCTCACTGCAACCTCCGCCTTTTGGGTTCAAGCGATTCTCCTGCCTCAGCCTCCTGAGTAGCTGGGATTACAGGCACGCACCACCATGCCCAGCTAATTTTTTTTTTTTTTTTTGTATTTTTAGTAGAGACGGGGTTTCACCATGTTAGTCAGGCTGGTCTCAAACTCCTGACCTCGTGATCCCCCCTTTTCGGCCTCCCAAAATGCTGGGATTACAGGCATGAGCCACCAGGCCCTGCCTGGACTCTTAAAACAGCAAGCTGGGCCAGGCGCGGTGGCTCATGCCTGTAATCCCAGCACTTTGGAAGGCAAAGGTTGGCAGATCCCTTAAGGTCAGGAGTCCTCTGCTTCGCTCCCCTCTCCTTCTGTTTCTCTTTCTTTATTTGTTTCTTTCCTTCCTTCCTTCTTTCTTTCTGTTTTTTTTTTTTTTTTTTTTTTTGACAGAGTTTCCCTCTTGTGACCCACACTGGAGTGCAATGGCACAATCTCGGCTCACTGCAACCTCTGCCTCCCAGGTTCAAGTGATTCTCCTGCCTCAGCTTCCCGAATAGCTGGGATTACAGGTGCCTGCCACCATGTCCAGTTAATTTTTGTTTTGAACTTTCACTCTTGTTTCCCAGCCTGGAGTGCAATGGCACGATCTTGGCTCACTGCAACCTCCACCTCCCAGGTTGAAGTGATTCTCCTGTGAGCTCTGTTCTGGGAAGATATTTGCCACCTACATGTCTTTTATTTTATTAAAACAAAAGTAATAATTAGAAATGACTCTTCAGTATATACTGTTATTTTAATCAAGTAGCTGGGACTACAGGTGCATGCCACCATGCCCGGGTAATTTTTGTATTTTTAGTAGACATGGGGTTTCACTATGCACTATGTTGGCCAGCCTGGTCTTGAACTCCTGACCTTGTGATCTGCCCCACCTCAGCCTCCCAAAGTGCTGGGATTACAGGTGTGAGCCACCACACCGGCCAATTTTTGTATATTTAGTAGAGATGGGTTTTCACCATGTTGGCCAGGCTGGTCTCAAACTCCTGGGCACAAGTGATCCTCCTGCCTCAGCCTCCCAAAGTGCTGGAATTACAGGTATACACCACCGCACCATTTGTGGTAGTGTACACCAGTCTGTGCCCATTTTATAGACGAGGAGACTGAGCTCGGCAGTTTGAAGTAACTTGTCCCAGGTCACAGAGCAAGTAAGTAGCAAAACCGGATTTCAAATGCTGGTCTGCCTCCAGTGCTCCCTCTGCTACCCCCAGCTGCCTTGCTGTTTGGCCTAGAAGCTTTAGGGTTGTGGCAACTTGTCCTGTAAGCTCTGTTCTGTGTAGATACCTGCCGCTTACATGTCTTTCTCTCATGTTGCCTGCTCACAAGAGAATGTGTAGGGATTTGCAGGTGGTCAGATTTTATAGAAAAAAAATAGACATTTCCACATAGAAAGAAACACCAGTGAGACAGTTGAGACAGTTGAGCAGGGAGTTCTTGGAGGAAAATGGGAGGTTCAAAAGGCGATTAATGCTTCTGTCTGAAACTGTAAACAGATAGTTACTGGCTCTGACACCACCAGTGTGCAGACAAAAGGCAGACAGAAACAGAGCACCACAAGGAAGCTGGGCACAGACCACGCCCAGGGTGGAAATTAAATGTTTTCCTGAAAGCAGAAAGGAGAACCATAGTTACAGCCAAGCCATGACTCTAAGTCTGTGACTCCATGACTGTGTAAGTTCAGTGAGGAGAGGCCCTTAATTTGCACCTAGGCGTTGTTGTGAATCTTAAGGCCTTACTCGACATTCTCTCTTGACCTAAGTTTGTAAAACAAAAGCAATAATTAGAAATGACTCTCCAGCATATACTGTTATTTTAACCAAAGATATATATATATATATACACACACACACTATAGATACATCTATCTATCTCTAGATATCACACTATATATATATATATGTATTTTTTTATCATATATATGGAGAGAGAGAGAGATGTATGGCTGGGCACAGTGGCTCACATCTGTACTTTGGGAGGCCAAGGTGGGAGGATCACTTGAAGCCAGGTGTTGAAGATCAGCCTGGGCAACATAGCAAGACCCCTTCTCTACAGAGCAAAACAAATACACACACGCACACACACACACACACAAACACATTTTATATACAAATATAAATATATATTATATATTTTGGACAGAATCTCACTCTGTCACCCAAGCTGGAGTGCAGTGGCATGATCTCGGCTCACTGCAGCCTCTGCCTCCCAGGATCAAGCGATACCTCCTGAATAGCTGGGACTACATGTGCCACTGTGCCCAGCTAATTTTTGTATTCTTAGAAGAGACAGGGTTTCACCATATTGGCCAGGCTGGTCTCAAACTGCTGACCTCATGATCCGTCTGCCTAGGCCTCCCAAAGTGCTGGGATTATAGGCGTGAATCATTGCACCTGGCATATATATATGTGTATACACATACACATATATATATACGTATATGTGTATATATATATACGTGTGTGTGTGTATATATATATGTATATATGTATGGAGAGAGAGAGAGAGAGAGGGAGGCCGGGCGCGGTGGCTCAAGCCTGTAATCCCAGCACTTTGGGAGGCTGAGGCAGGTGGATCACGAGGTCAAAAGATTGAGATCATCCTGGTCAACATGGTGAAACACCGTCTCTACTAAAAATACAAAAAATTAGCTGGGCATGGTGGCGTGTGCCTGTAATCCCAGCTACTCAGGAGGCTGAGGCAGGAGAATTGCCCGAATCCAGAAGGTGGAGGTTGCGGTGAGCCGAGATCACACCATTGCACTCCAGCCTGGGTAAAAAAAAAAAAAAAAAAAGAGAGAGAGAGAGAGATTGAGGAGGGGGGCTGGGCGTGGTGGTTCATGCCTGTAATCCCAGTACTCTGGGAGGCCAAGGCAGGTAAATCACCTGAGGTCAGGAGTTCGAGATCAGCCTGACCAGTATGGTGAAACCCTGTCTTTATTAAAAATACAAAAATTAGCCAGGCGTGGTGGTGTGTGCCTGTAGTCTCAGCTACTCAGGAGGCTGAGGCAGGAGAATTGCTTGAACCAAGGAGGCGGAGGCTGCTGTGAACCAAGATTGTGCCACTGCACTCTGGCCTGGGTGAAAGAACGAGACTCCTCAAAAAATAAAATAATATAAAATAAATAAATATATATATGGAGAGACAGAGAGAGGGCACACATTGGCACACTGGCACATTGTTGGCAAGTTTCCTCAGCATTCTTGGTTGTAAATGACAGAAAACTCAACTCACTGATGCAAACAAAGCAAATCATCATCATCATTATTATTATTTACTGACTTAACAGCTGGATCAAGGAGGTCAAAGATTCCATTTCATGTCTTTACCATGTCTTGGCTCTGCTTTCTTCTGTGGCTTCAATCTCAGACAGACACTCTCTTCCCCAGGGTGACAAGAAGGCTCTCAGAAGCTCCACCCATGCTTTTTCCTGTTGGTTAAAAAAGAGTGCCTCTTTCCAGAAAAAATCTCAAGTCTCCCACTGATTGGTTCCCATTGGGTCACATGCCTGTTCTTCCACCAATCCTTGTGGCTGGGCTAGATCCCAGGCCCAACCCTGGAGCCAAAGGTGGGTGGAATAAGCTCCATCCCAGATACAGGAACTGATATTGGGGGAGGGGGAGTTCCCCAGGGAAAACTGGGGTGCTGTTTCAAGAAGAGTCATGTTCACCATCTGGTAGTTGCTGCCTCTCTGTTAACTAAGCTTAATGAGAGGCTGTCATCAGGAATAATAATAACCAATAACGGTAATGACGGCAACACTTACTGAGCACTCGCTATGTGCCAAGCATTGCTCTATGCCTTATATATGCGATCATATTCATTCCACACAACAGCTCATGTTCCTTTTTCTTTTTTTTGAGATGGAGTTTTTGCTCTTGCTGCTCAGGGTGGAGTTTAGTGGCACGATCTCGGCTCACCACAACCTCCACCTCCTGGGTTCAAGTGATTCTCCTGCCTCAGCCTCCTGAGTAGCTGGGACTACAGGCACATGCCACCACGCCTGGCTAATTTTTGTATTTTTTAGTAGAGACAGGGTTTCACTATGTTGGCCAGGCTTGTCTCGAACTCCTGACCTCGTGATCCACCTGCCTCAAACTCCTGAGCTCAGGCAACTGCCCGCCTCGGCCTCCCAAAGTGCTGGGATTATAGGTGTGCCACTGTGCCTGGCCATGTTTATTTCTTATCCTCATCTCACTTCATCAATGGACAAATTGACAGAGACATGAAGGAACTGGCCCAAGTTTACACAGAAAATAAGGAGTGGAGTCAGGACGTTCTTTCCAAATTCTGCGCTTTAGTTCTTCCGGGAACTACACTCAGAGCTGATCTATCTCTCAGAATTGCCGGCCTTGTGCCAATGAGGAAGCCCTGAGCCTTCTAAAGGACCACCCTGCGAGGTTAACCAGTGTGGGATGACAGATATCATCTGGATGCTCATGAGGATTTGTCCTGGAGCAGCACCTGGACACTGAGAGGTGTGACAACAAGGCAAGTCTGATCCAAGGATCACCGTGGACTCCGGAGCTGAGGTTCCTCAGTAGCCCTGCTTGCCTCCCCGCAGGAGTGGAGGAGAAAGAGTGCAACGCAGAGAGAAGTGCTAGGACTGAGCCCCACCTGCTGCTAACCAGTTGTTATGTGTCTTGAAAAAAGTCCTTTAAAATATTTGTTGTTGGGTGTGGTGGCTCACACCTGTAATTCCGGCACTTTGGGAGGCTGAGGCAGGCGGATTGCCTGAGGTTGGGAATTCAAGACCAGCCTGACCAACATGGAGAAACCCCATCTCTACTAAAAATACAAAATAATTCTTGCTTGTCACCCAGCTGGTGCTCCTGAGGTTAGTTCTCTCCTTTCCATATTGCCCTCCTTCTCCATTCCCCAGCCTTAGCAGGAGCAAGGCAAGAGAGAAAGGAAAGGATCTTTTATCTTTTCCTAGCGGGCTTGATGGGATCTCCTCCCCTCCTCCTCCTCTGCCCAGCATCTATAATAGCACAAAAGGAGTACCAAACCTCGCGTCGTGTTCCTGGGTTTGAGTCCCAGCTCAGCCGTCCTTTTCCTAGGCTTGTGACCTTGGATAAGTCCCTGTCACCCTCTGCAGCTAAAGAACATACCTCCCTCCCCGAGTCTGATGAAAACACCCTCAGTAAACGTGCCTGGCACATGGTTTGTTTATTTCCTGGGTCTGAAACAGTAAAAGGGACAGAGCTGGGTAGGTCGTGCTGCCTTGGGCAGAGCTTTGGTCAGCAGAGGGGCCCGGCTTCACTCCACTTCCCATCTCCTGAATAATTCATGAGAAACAAAATAACTGGGCCAGACCTGGGCCCTCCCTCCTCCTGTCGTGAAGGCAGAAAAGTTTCTAATTACAGATCAGCCGCCCAGGCTCCCCGGGGCCCCTGGGCGCTGCACACAGGGGGCATTTATGGGAAGAGACCATGTAGGGGAGAGGTTCCATCCCAGCCCCTTTCCAGAAGAAACTCAACTCCTTTTGAAATTGTAGCCTTGGCCTGCTAAGGCCCAGGGAAGGACTGGGGAAAGAAGCTTAGAAGAGGAAGAGAAAACCCTGCCGAGGGGTCAGAGAGAAGTGCCCAGAAAAAAACGTCAGGTCAAGGAGGAGCTCTGGGGAAGTCCTGATCAGAGGAATACACAGGCCATCAGGGGAGAGGTTTGCTCAAGTCCCGTGGAAAGCACGACAAAGCTGGGCTTCAAAAGGAAGATGTCCAACGAAAATCCAGATGGAAGGAATAAGATCTAGAGTTCTACAGTACAGTGGAGACACTAGAGTTAATAATTTGTTTTAGAGTTCAAAATTGCTTGGCCGGTAGTGCTGGCTCATGCCTGTAATCCCAACACTTTGTGAGGCTGAGGCAGGCGGATCACCTGATGTCAGGAGTTTGAAAACAGCCTGGCCAACATGGTGAAAAACCCCGTCTCTACTAAAAAAATACAAAAATTAGCCAGGTGTGGTGGTGTGCGCCTGTAATCCCAGCTACCTGGGAGTCTGAGGCAGGAGAATCGAATGAACCCAGGAGGTGGAAGTTGCAGTGAGCTGAGATCACGCCACTGCACTCCGGCCTGGGCCACAGAGTGAGATTCCATCTCAAAGAAGAAGAAGTAGAAAAAGAACAAGAACAACAGGAAGAAGAAGAAGGAGGAGGAGGAGGAAGAGGAAGAAGAGGAGGCGGAAGAAGAAACAATTGCTGGAGGAGAGGAACTGGGATGTCCCCACATGAAGAAGGGGTGAATATTTGGGTTGATGGATGTCCCAGTTATCTTGATTTGATCGTTACACATTGCATGTATGTATCAAAATACCACACGTGCCTCCAAAATATGTACAATTATCATGTATTACTTAAAAAAAAAAAGGAAGATGACTTGACTCCAAAACCACAGTCACTCAGTTACACTACAATTTCCTCATTTATGTATAAAATGGGGAGATGCCCAACACCTACCTTACAGCATTATTGAGGAGTTATATGAGATAATATATGTAAAGTGCTTAGAATACTGCCTCGCACATAAACTAAAAATATATATTAGTAGTTGTAGAGTTATTTTTTATATCATGCTTCCTCCATAGAGTGGTCAGTAAAGGGTGAAGAGAAGATTCAGGGAGGTTGTCAGAGAGGGGAACACTGATTGTGAGGTAGTTTAGTGTAGTGATTATGGTAAGGAGCCCATACATAATACCGTAATAAATAATAAGAAAAGAGGCCAGCTTGGCCAGCACGGTAGCTAACGCCTGTAATCCCAGCACTTTGGGAGGCTTAGGCGGGCAGATCATGAGGTCAAGAGATGGAGACCATCCTGGCCAACATGGTGAAACCCGTTGTTTACTAAAATACAAAAATTAACTGGGCATGGTGGCAGGTACCTGTAATCCCCGCTACTTGGGAGGCTGAGGCCAGAAAATCGCTTGAACCTGGGAGGCAGAGGTTGCAGTGAGCTGAGATTGAAAGACTTTACCTCCAAAAGAAAAAAAAAAAAAGAAGCCAGGTGTGGTGGCTGATGCCTGTAATCCTAGTACTTTGGGAGGCTGAGGTGGGCAGATTGCTTGAGTTCAGGATTTCAAGACCAGCCAGGGCAACATGGTGAAACTCCATCCCTACTAAAACTACAAAAATTAGCCAGGCCTGGTGGAGGGTGCCTGTAGCCCCAGCTACTTGGGAAACTGAGACATGAGAATTGCTTGAACCCAAGGGGTGAAAGTTGAAGACAGCCAAGACGGTGCCACTGCACTCCAGCCTGGGCAACAGAACGTGACTCTGTCTGAAAAAAAGGCCGGGGACGGTGGCTCACGGCTGTAATTCCAGCACTTTGGGAGGCCAGGTGGGCAGATCATGAGGTCAGGAGTTCGAGAACAGCCTGGTCAATATAGTGAAACCCCGTCTCTACTAAAAATACAAAAACTAGCTGGGCGTGGTGGCCTGCACCTGTAGTCTCAGCTACACTGGAGGCTGAGGCAGAAGTATCACTTGAACCCAGGAGGCAGATGTTGCAGCTGAGCCGAGATCATGCCACTGCACTCTAGCATGGACGACAGCGGGAGACTCTATCTCAGAAGCAAAATAAAATAAAATAGAGGCCAGGTGCAGTGTGGTGGCTCATGCCTATAATCCAGCACTTTGGGAAGCTGAGGTGGGTGAATTGCTTGAGTCCAGGTGTCCGAGACCAGCCTGGGCAACATAGTAAGACCCTATCTCTACAAAAAATACAAAAACTAACTGAGCATTGTGGTGGTTGCCTTAATCCCAACTACTTGGGAGTCTGAGGTGGGAGGATCGCTTGAGCCTGAGGAGAGGCATAGGCTGCAGTGAGCCAAGATTGTGCCACTGCTCTCCAGTTTGGGTGACAGAGTGAGAACCTGTGTCAAAAAAAATTTAAATAGTAAGCACTACAGAGCTAAGTTGCCTGGGTTCGAATCTCAATTCTGCCTCTTACTAGCTGTGTGACCTTGGGCAACTTTGCTGCAGGTCTCCGAGCTCCTATTCACCATCTATAATAAACAGCAGCCACGGCAGTTAATGGAGAGTGGTGAACAAAATGGCCAAGGTCCCTGTCCTCATGGAGCTTACAGTCTAGCAGGAAGGGCATACTAAGCAAGAGCACTTATTGCATGCCAGCTGTGTGCAGGTTCTGTGCACTCTGCAGACATTCTTTCAATGAAATTTCACAGAATCCACCCCTGTTTTATAGAGGAAGAGGGTGAAACTCAAAGAGGTCACAAGCAGAGAGAGGATTTAGAACTGAGAGATCACTCCACAGTATGGATGAATCACCATATTAGCATGGTGAGCGAAAAAAGCCAGATGCAAACGAATACACATTGTATGATTTCATTTATATGAAACTCTAGAAAATGCAAACTAACTTATAGTGACAGAAAGCAGATCAGGGGTTGTGTGGGACGGGGGTGGGCCGGGCATTCACTGCAAAGAGCCTGAGGAACCTACTTGGGGAGATGGAAATGTTTTCCATCTGACAGTGATACTAGTTACATGGGTGTATGCATTTGTCAATGTTCATTGAACTGGACACTTAAAATGTGTGCATTTTCCTGCATGTAAATTACACCTCAATGAAGCCAATCTTTTTAAGGGGGTGGGGAAGATATACCAGACTCCAGAGCCCTGCAACCCTTCTTACGTTATTCAAGTGTCCGATTTCAAGTTCATTTGTGGGCAGAAATTGTATCAGGTTCATCTTTAGGTCCTTCCCTCACTTCTCAGCCCAAGGGCCTAGCAAAATTCTTTTTTTTTTTTCTTTTTTTTTTTTTGAGATGGAGTCTGACTCTGTTGCCCAGGCTGGAGTGCAGTGGCGCAGTCTTGGGTCAATGCAACCTCCGCACCACCCTCCACCGGGTTCAAGAGACTCTCCTACCTCAGCTTCCCAAATGGCTGGGATTATAGGTGCCCACTACCACACCTGCCTAATTTGTGTATTTTTAGTAAAGACGGGTTTCACTATGTTAGCCAAGTTGGTCTCGAACACCTGACCTCAGGTAATTTGTCCACCTCGGCCTCCCAAAGTTTTGAGATTACAGGTGTGAGCCACCGTGCCCAGCCAAAATTCTTAAACCCAGTAGTTCAGATTATCAAATATACCCTAGGCATCTTCTTTGTCCTGGGTGCCGAGGTCACAGAGCAATCGGTCTAGTGGGGAACACAGAAGGGAAAGGCCAAATAGACACAGTACGGTGGGGGGGGGGGGCGTAAATGTGCTGGTGGAGTAAACAGGTCATTACTGGGCCTCAGCAATGAATCCTGCATAGAGCCTGGAACTTGGGATGTGAAACTCTCAAGCTCTTCAATCCACCGCCTGCATTTAAATCTCCACCCAACTGCTTGCTGTGTGACTTTGGGTGACTCCTTCAGCCTGCTAAACCTCAGTTCCCATCTCTGGAAAATGGAGATCACAGTAGTTCTAATCTAGAATGTTGTTATGAGAATTAAAGACAGAAAATGTGAAATGTTTAGCGTGGTAGGCATAGGAAGGACTCCATAATTAACAGCCATTCTTACCGGGATTGAAGAGCAGGGAGGTGGAGAGAGGCACACAGGGTGTGTGCGCGTGTAGCGGGTTCACTACCCAACCTGAGGTGGGAGAGCGCTGAGAGGAACTTTCCCAGAGAGGTGATACTAGGAGGAGGAATTGGCTCATTTAAGTGGCCATGGAGGCAGTACCGAGAGGGAACAGCCTGGAGCAAATGCTCAATAAATATTTGCTCAATAAATAAAAAAATAGAGACTGTGCAAAACCTGCCTGTAACCAAGGAGACAGAGAGGGCTTGCCAGAGTAGACTGGGGGGTCCTCAGGAGGCGGGGCCTGGTGGCCCCACAGGCAGACTCCACACTTTCCTAGCCTGGCCCGACCCCACCCTGCGCCCTGCCCAGTTCCCCTGATACCTTTGGACAGCCCCAGACCTGAGGCCTGGAACCCATGGGAGGAGGAACGGTGGAGAGGGCCGGCGGGACAGGGGTCCTCGAGGACCTTCTCCCTCTAAGGAGAATGGGCCAAGTCCCCGCAAGGCGCCTCCCGCGCCCCCGTTGTCCGAGCCACAAAGGGCCAGGATCAATGGAAGGCGGGAGCGGCCAAGGGGCCTCCTCTTTGTGCGGCTGTCTCAGGCCTGTTTGCGCCGCCGTCTCCGCGCCCCCATTGATCAGGCATGTGGAAAGATTCCGCCTCCCGGGCTCCCTTTGTGGCCGCGTTGCCAGGCTGCGCCCGGCGTGACTACACCGCGCAGGGCGCACCGCCTGCAGTGGGCACAGGGCTGCGAGACCGGGCGGGATCCCAGGAAGGCAGGGTGGTCAGATTTAGCAAGTAAAAATACAGGACGTCCAGTTAAATGTGAATTTCTGATAAATAACAAACAAAAGCAAAATTTAAATAAATAAATAAAGTATAAGTATGTCCCAAACACTGCATGGGACATACTTATACTGAAAAAGTATTTGTTGATGATCTGAAATTTCAACTTAACTAGGCATCCTGTTTTATCTGGCACCCTTTGAGGCGGAAGCTGAATACATCTCCATTGCCTAGCACTTACATTACCCCCAACTTCGGTGGTTGAGGTTTTGTTTGCTGCCTTGCTTTTTGTTTTTGTTTGTGGTCATATTTGCATACCCCGAACTACTATTTAGATACAAATTTTCTTTAAATACATTTATTTTTTAAAAACTTACCCTGGCAGAGCGTGGTGGCTCAAGCCTGTAATCCCAGCATTGTGGGTGGCCACGGGGGAATGATTGCTTGAAGCCAGCAGTTCAAGACCAGCTTGTGCAACAAAGCAAGATCCCCTCTTACAAAACGAAACAAAAAACTCCCTTAATCTATTAACGATGATTTATTGATGCATACTGCATATACATTAACTTGAACAAATATGAAATGTACCTGTTGATACATTTTTGCCTACAAGGACACTGGTGTGATCACACCTACATCAAGATATAGAATATTCCAGGCTGGGCGAGGTGGCTCATGCCTGTAATCCCAGCACTTTGGGAGGCCGAGGTGGGCAAATCACTTGAAGTCAGGAGTTCGAGACTAGCCTGGCCAACAAGGTGAAACTCCCTCTCTACTAAAAATACAAAAATTAGCCAGGTACGGTGGTGGGTGCCTGTAATCCCAGATACTCAGGAGGCTGAGGCAGGAGAATTGCTTGAACCTGGGAGGCGGAGATTGCAGTGAACCAAAGTGGTGTCATTGCACTCCAGCTTGGGTGACAGAACAAGACTCCGTCTAAAAAAAAATATATATATATATAGCATAGTCCCATCACCCCAGAAAGTTCCCTGGGGTCCCTGGACAGTATCCACCTCCCCACTGGCAGCCATAGATTTGCTTTAGCTGTTTGTGGACTCTTATAGTATAATATGTACACCTGAGTCTAGCTTCTTTCCCTCAATATTGTTTCTGAGGATGGGCATGTGGCTCACCCCTGTAATCTCAGCACTTTGGAAGGCCCAGGCAGGCAGATCAGGATCGCCTGAGGGCAGGA